CAGAAAATGTCAAAAGAGGTCGTCTGCAGAATTGTAGAAAAACAACAAACAGACGACGGTTGGTTCGTAAAAGAAAATATACATGCCTACTGACTTGTTACAAGTACCCTAATCACATGTGTAAGCAGTAATCTTGTACAACGGCTTATTAGCGATGCCAGTAAGTGTAATTGAACAAAAAGTACAGACAGTGAAAAAATTCCAAAGGCAGTTGTGGGAAATTCTAGGAGTTTAAATGCCATTTGAGGGCTTTTAAGGGGAAAAAACAGTCGCTCATTGGAGGAAGGTATATGCGAGATGGATTCGGGCTGCTGCGGAGAACTTTCGAGGCAAGTCAGGGTAGCCCATCGCGGTTATCGTCAATATCTTAAGAGTCAGTCGAGGAGGAGACCGCATAGGTCACGAGCACATCAGCGAAGAGCCGAAGTGCGATGAGGATAACCCTTGCTGGTTGCCAAGTCTTCCAACAAGTTGACAAAAACACAGGAACCCGCCATGATAGCCAGCAGTCTGTTGCGCGTCGAGCTGAGGAAGAACGTTGCATAGCCGCGTATCATAGGACCACAAAGTGGGTTAGAGACGATGGCTGAGTCGATCCTTGCAGTTCGCATAGAGACAAAGCTGACAACGCGAAGATATTCGGCTAAGCGTCCTGATGCGAAAAACACATTGAGCGAACAATTACAAACAAAACTACTACTGAAAACAAGCTAGTCCTATATTTTATAGCATTCAAATACTCGGTATCGTGATATAATGAAAGGCTTGTGGTGGTTTAAGATGTCATTGTCGTACATATGGCGGTACTAGTAAAACTTCGTCTTAAAGCTGCCCATGGATGGGAACACGACTTGGCCCGTAGGCAGGCAGGCGATAGTTAACAGCAAACGAAGTGACAGCAATTCAAACCGCGCGTGTCAAAATGCTTTCGATTATTTGACTAAGGGGTTGGTTATCTAGACATCGTGGTTCCAGAAGATAAACTGGTGAACAAGCGTTTGCTTCCAATAAATTCTTGTGAGGCCTTTACATTTATATGGTACATCGTGGTTCGTAGAGGAAACAATGCATGACAGCGTTATTTGGGGTGGTCCCTCCTCTTAGTCACGGAAAAAGCCGCTGAATTTGGGCTAGTTTTAAATGAATTAGAAGGCCGAGGGAAGTGGCTTTTCAAACCGGACATCCAAGAAAATGCAGTAACAGATGCGTTGAGGTTAGCAAGCTGAAATATTACAGTCGGGACCGTGTTTGCCCAATCAACACTTTTTCTATGTTCAGATAATCTCTCAAGAGCTGTTTGCACAGGACCAATTGAGCTGATTTAACGTTGTGATCATGCATGTACAATCAAGACTTATTTTATATCTTGCTCTGAGATTAATCACGAATCAGAAGCAGTGAACGTTCATCTTTTGATTGCTGCTTTACGGGCAAGATCAAACGAAATGTACCGCAGCGAACCAAGCTGTCACTGAAAATAAACTCCAGATCATTCTTTCCAGTGTTTTCGGGAGAAAAAGCAGCAGCTCAATAAATTTTGATGTTTGTTTCAGGAGAGGATTGACAGAAGGGAACGGCTTTATCAGTATCCCTTCAGTGCTATGGATCCGGTATTCTCCACCAGAGACATGCTTCGGTGATCGGTTACTCACTGTCGGCTAAAAAATTAGCCAATTGCGGGCTGCAGTGTAAGTGCTGCTGCCATTAAAATGAAGACTGTCAAATCGTTTACGGTCTGCGAACGCCATCAGAACGGAAGAGAGTTTGTATATAATCAGAACTCAACATTCATGGAAGGTGTCCTGCATTCAGAAAACTGTTGACATCTGTGCATGGCTATGACTATCTTACCATAACCTATCATTAAGGATTCTCGACAGAATCCGAAAATAAATAAATAGATTTTTATATTTGAGGCCTGGAATTTGTATGTAATACGAGGCTGAATGATATATAAAAGAAGATGGAAAATACCTGCATAGGCAAGGACACTTTTTGAGAACGTATAGATTACAGGTAAAGTTTGAAAGCATGAAATTATCTTAAAACAGTAGTAAGTGTTGATCAGTGGCAAAGTTGCAGTGACATTCGGAATAAATCTGACATCAACGGTGGTCTTCTTTTAACTCCTCGACTAATTCCCGCGCTGCTCGCGTTTTTTGTTCAATGCTTTCTTGCCGTCTCATGTTTTATATTCCATGAGTTTATGTGAGTTCTGTGAGGTCCCTTCACGAATGTTTACTTTTTTTTGTACATTTATTCTTAAGCCTCAAATATTTTTCGAAATTCGTCTCGGTTTCTTTCGTGACAGTTGCTGTAGAAGCTTTTTTAGGGCAGGCAAATAAGAGGTATGCAAATAAAATTTACGCTTTGCAGTTTAACTCAACAACAACAAGTTACAGCCGTTTTGTAGAGAAAGTCCTTAACTTTAAAAATTATTGCATATTAAAAAGTGCTCTACACGTCCAAGAGTACTAAAATGCGAAACGTTAGCAATTTTCTAGAATATATCTAGAATCAGCATTGTTCCTGATTCAAGTGGAGCGTACGCGTACATCCATCAATCAGCGCACACAATACTGTTCAGCTCTGTGTGCAAATTGTGCAAGAATAAACGAGCCAAGAGATTGCTATGTCAGTATGACCATCTGGGTTTATTCAGGGACTACTTTTGTTGACATCACGGGTGTACCATTTCACGAGAAGCAATTTTTTGTTTTCAGAATTGTTACTGGTACTGTGTCCCGTCTAGGTGATATTCTTTACTGTGTCGCAGAGATAGACTGAGACCATTAATACACGTGGACAATCGTACGTTGGATTCGCTGTTCTACCGCTCTGTGAGATTACATCGCGGCCAAATAATAGACACCCTTTAATAGTTTTTCTTGAAAATCACCAGTGTGGTCTAGGCCTTTAAACTCTGTTGAATTGAATAGTGAGTGAAAAACGTTTCCCTTTCTCGAATTTCTCTGTGGACGCTAAGCAAAGATATGTACAGAATCGTTCAGATCTATCTTATAAAGTGCAGTCCTTTACTGCTGTGCTTGTTGTTTGCCTCTGATTTGATGTATCCTTGTTCTAAACTGATTTATTTCAGAGTCAAATGTCAATTTTTCGCTTTGAACAAAGAATGCACAAGTTCGTTGCTTGGCTATTTATATTCTGTCAGGAACTCGATTGTCTGTACATAAACCGCGACCTGTAACTTTTTACACAACATAGTAAAAAGAAGTGATCTCATATATTTTTTAAAGTGGGTTAGCCAAGGACTAAATTTTCTTCAGAGAATTCACTTCAGCGATTTTTATAACATGACAAAGTCTATGGTACGTCGGTACTAGAGTTACACTACGGGTCTGGTGACATGATTGTCAGAATATAAATTAGTATGTACAAAACAAGATACCATCTTGAATCAGGGTTTGGGTCATATTACTAAAACGTGGGTAAATAAAAGTGCTAATCTGGTTCTAGTTTTCAACCAAAGGGCTGTGCTCTGTCGCCTTGTGCAGCAGGTAGGGTTTTATATGTCATTAAACCACTGGAGACAATGTGACAGAGGAATTTAGTGTAAGCTTTTCAACTGTAACTGTCAGTATCAGTTCATCTCACTGCCATTGTCAAGTTACTTGAATCTTGTGAGTTTCGCACTCTTAACTGAAGAGTGTATTCGTTTGTTGAAGGACATAATACAAGAAAGTGGGTCTTCTGACCATTCCAGGAGTGCATTCTCACAAAAACAGCACAAACCCTACGATTTCTGTTCGTACTTTCGGCTGTTTGGTGTCTTTTGACGGTTGCCTAGACTCCATGGAAAGGAACTTCAAGTATAACAACTAGCGTAAATTATTTGATACTCTTCTGGCGGTATTTACTATTGGTCTATATACCTTTTAACATCCGCTTTTAATTATTACTGTCTTGGGAACCCAAACCCTCGCCTCCAGAGATTACGAAAGTGCAAAAAGTAGGCGGTTCCCAACCCCAGGTGATCTGAACTTATTCTACAATCAAATTGGCAGAAGTGGGCACTGCTTTATTTACGCTCGCTCTTTCACATAACCATTCGAAAGAAACCTTTAAATCTTCAGATCTTATACTCGAAAATAATCTAGTGCACAAACGCCTACTTATTATTGCTGAGAGTCAGAGTACTTGTCTAGGTCATGTAGGCTTGGTACTAAAATTAAGACAAACACAAATGAGAGTAAACTCGATAGTCGGCCCCAAAAGCCGCGACCAACGCCACATAAGAAGATTAACAGCCCTATATTATCATTAAGGTTTCTCTTGCCTGCTCTCTGAGTGTCACAGTGAGTTTCAGTTCCATGATTTTGTATTAGGCGTCATGTCATGGTAGCTTTCATTCTAATTTTCCCTTAAGTTTTTTGACATTTTTGAAATTAATCACCGTTTACCATAAATCGTCGCATTATTTCCTTTTAGGTACTTCCTGGGCTTGTTAGGCACGTGCTCCGGATAGTTATTTTACCTACTTCCTGTACTTTTCGATAAACGTGCTTCATAAGTTATAATGTCGACCGATCAAGAACTGAAAATCTCCCGCATGACAAAGCGTTCTTCAAATAAGAAACTATTTAGCCGGGCAACTTACAAACTGCGTGAGTTTGTCCTGACTCCTTGTTTCATCAAATACTTCGATGTCAGCGGCGGGGTAATTTTCCTTTTCTTTCATCATATTCGTCGATTAAAGAATCGTGGGAAGGAAAAGGGCCGCATTTCTCTGTCTAATGTCAAGTACGTCGAAAAGGTTCAGGACGAGGAGCTTGACGGCAACAAAAATGTCCTTCAGGTACTTGTCTCGATCGAATTTGTCATTCTTCTCTCCAGTTAGGCTTCGTTGAAGACGCTGCCGCGGATGCCTGGTTTCTAATGTATGTGGTAGCTTCCTCATCCATGGAGCGCGATGATTGGATAAGCCTCATTCGATTCTGTGAGTCTTCAATGCAGTTTTGTTGGGTGCTTTTATACTAGCTTTTAAAGCTACCGCCTCCATAATTTTCCATTGGTTCGTAAGTATTGCCTGGCACTGTCGGTACCTTGACTTAAAATTTGCAGAGGCGCCTTACCTAACTTTTAATTGCTTCAACAAGCCAACCACAATGAGCATCATGTGTCGGCTGCGCACGCAAATAAAAAATTTCGGCTAACTTGCACGCATCCTAACCTCGCACGCTTTTAAAAGTGTGACTCCCAACTCTCCTTCGCCCTTCACTCTGGTTGTGCGAGTATAGCGTTTTCGAAATACTTTGGCACGTCATTTATCCGTTTGAGACTGGCCAGTTAGCTCTAATGAGACGGAGTAAAAGCATCCGGTCAATCAAAATTTCCACCTGCTCATCTCCTGGGCGATGCGTTACGGTGGTTCATCACTTGGGTTTGTCCTCTATATCTACCTATTTTTCTTTGTGCTTAGCTATCCAAAAATATTTACACGAACAAAAGCATTGTTTCCCTATTTGAGTCCAAGGTCTTGCCAATGTAGCCCTTCTTATTTTTTTTCTATAACTTGTTGGCAAACCATTCTTCTTCTATCGTGTTTTTTTACTGTGAACTGCGTACAACTTCGTTTTTGGATAGTTTGCATAAAGGCATTTTTTTACATAGTTAACTTACATACAGTTTACTTACACACCCCTTAATGGGGTTCAATAATTCAAATGCGTTAGTACAGACTAGGAGAGAACTCCCCGTAGCACCCTAAGAACCCAACATTAGCTACTTTTTCCGGTAGGAACGTTCTACTGAGTAGTGATTAAAGATTGACTAAAAGTCGCGTCCCCTGGCATCCTGCAATTTAAACGAACCAATTTACCGTTTCTAAATGAGTCGCAGCGAGAACCGCCCTTTACGGATGCCTTCTACTCTAACATTTTCTCACATCTGGTGGAGGAAGTAGAATGTTCTTCGCTCCCAAACTGTTGCTTCCCGTACGGCCGACCGCATAGGGTTTAAGTGGGGCATAACGTCACGAAATTCTTAGGACCAACTGCTGTTTTAGTAGTTTGAAGTGTTATATTTTCCTTTCACAATATATTCGTCTCAATGGTTGCTTGCTTACGAATCCCTACGTAGGTTTTTATACTTCTTGACTAGTAATGCGGAATTTTTTCACATATTGCGAGCATCGACTTTTTTGATACTTTGTTTTCTTTTGCCATTACATTCCTAGGTCATAGTTTCTTCGTATATCATCACAAGTTATTATGTGGGTCAAATAGGACTAAACTTTAAAATTGCATATAGTGGACGAATAAATAATTCTTTATTTCAACTTCTCCTTTCTCAGCTCCTGTCTTTGCTGTTTCAGAATAACTGCGCAGTTTGTCTGGCTGCTCTCATAAAGGTCTCATGTTAACATAGAGACGCCAAATTTGGGGAGAGGTTTAGCTGCAGTCAGCCAAAAAATCTTTGTTGGCTGTTTACTACTGCCTATTACTTGTTTTCAAATGGCCTCGTAAACTTTCAGACATTTTTTTCGCTTTTTAAGACTTGCTTTCTACACTATGACATCACCATACACATTAGTAGCTGGTCGCTTGAATGTCTCGTCAGGGGGTTTCTAGTTTTTCCTCATGCTCACAAAACAGTTAGGCCATTGGTTCTACGAAAAGTAAAAAAACCCTGTAAATTGCATCCTACCATCCAATCTCATCCCAATTGCTCTGTCTCTCATATTTAGACTCAGGGGAACGTGGGGCTACCTTCCTGCCGCGTTATCACCCCGGCGTTTGGCGGCGTCCGGGTCGTTATAGTTGCTGTGATGATATAAACCGACGTTCTGTCGGCTGCCAAGCGACAACTGAGTCCACTGGAGTTCTGCACCAACTTCCGAGCAGTGTAGAACAGAGTCGGCGAACTTCA